AACTGCCCGGTAAACCGTAGGCAGAGAGGGAGAAGAGGACAACAAACGAGGGGCTGTGACAAACTGTTTCGTCGGAGTTTCACCGACTCATCAGGAGGCTGAACCCTCAACAGTCTGTAGAATCCCCTCACTGATTACATATATATATTGTCACATAACTATGAAGTGGTGCTGATAAGAGCAGACACCACTACCACCTAGGGGGAGGCTCCGTTTATTGGTGGGGAGCATCACCTGCTGGAAACCGGGTCCAGCGTCCCTTATACAGAATTAATTCATAGTACAAACAGAGAACCTAAAAAACCGTGAGTCAGTCTACTGGCGTTATGGCAAGCCAGGCAGCAGTGTTGACTCCAGAGGATGTCGCCATCCAGCAGGCGGCCCTGCAGGAGGCACAGCTACAGCGGGCATTAGGAGAGAGAAAGCCGGAGAAGGAGAAGATGATCAGAAGAAGAGCCAGGATGCAGCGGAGAGGGGCAGACATAGAGGAGTTAGAGGCGATGGACCTGACGAACATGGATGATGATGTGAGGGTAGTTAGGAGGGCCCTGCTAAGCGTAATAGAGATGCAGGAGGATCAAACTACCATCCTTCAGGATATCCAACAGAGCCTTGCCGTTTTGGCAGGCCATGCTCAGGCAGCACCATCACCAGTCGGGCCTGGTGACTGGCTCGTGCCATATCCTCCTTTTTCTGTCCCACCGGTGACAGGGGTATCCCCATATGTAGCCCCGTCATCGGTTGCTATCGTTTCCCTGGGCATGCCGCTGTCAGGAGGGGTAACAGCAGGGAGTAGTTTGCAGGTTCCTGTACAGACAGTGTACACCCAAACTTCGTCGCAGGTTGCAGTCACCACGCAGCCTGCTGTCTCGCAGCCTGTGCAGCCTCAGGGCACGCAGCCCCAGCAGCTAGCACAGCAACCTGTGTCACCGGGTCCACAGCTCGGAGTGGTGCAGGGACCGGGACAAACTCAGTGGGTTCCAAAGACGGCCATCGCCGCTCCCAAACCTTTTACAGGGGATAAGAGGGGCGAAGACCTCGACACGTGGTTGAGGGCAGTGCCGGTCTACGTCAGGTGTAAACTCACCTTGCCGCACGAAGAAGTGCTTGTGGCTGCTTCCTATCTAGAGGGTAGCGCAGCAAGATGGTCAAGTGGTTTAGTACAACTCCAGGGATATGGTCATCACTTCCGCGCTTGGGCAGCCTCCCAGAAATTGGAGGACTTCCTGGTGGCATGATCCTCACGAGGCCCGAAGGGCCACTGATGCGATCCTGACACTGCACACAAGGCAGTTTAAGTCAGTAAGGGAAGCCACCTACGCTGTTGAGCGTCTGATCTGTGTCCCAGGGGTGCGCTATGACCCCCAGGTCCTGTTGACTTCGTACCTGAGATGTTTTTCACAACCTCTCAGGAACCAGTTGGCAAAAGAGGCCAACATCAATATGCACAACTTTCCTTCGTTCAGCAAGGTGGCCCTAGACCTTGAAGCTAAGATAGGGCATGGACAGGCACCCACTACGGATGGGAGGAAGAAGACACTGCCTCCTAACTGGAAAGCGAAAGGTCGCTTGATGTTTGTCGACAATGATGGTTCAACCATCGAGTTGGACGGCGACTTCCAGGAGGGAGTAGGTTCAGAGGCAGGCAGCGTAGACGCTTCAGAGGGTGGAGTAGTCGCTGTCGTATCTCAAAAAGGAAAGACGATCGGTAGACGCCACGGAGGCTCGGAGTCAAGTCGACCCCAACGCTCCTCCATGGGAGAAAGCGGGTCTTACAGAGGACGTGTTGCGAGATCGTTGCTCACGGCAGGCCTGTATTCGTTGTGGTCAATATGGCCACAACCAATTCAAGTGCCGCAATAAGAAAGTGACAAAAAAAATCCCGCCTACGATGGGGCAGGTGTTGGGATCCTCTCATCCCATCGGTAGCAACGTTGCCAGTACTTCAGGCAGTGCTCCGGGAAACACGTCGGGCCAGTAGGAATAGTAGCTGTTCCTGCTAGGGTCGAGGTGGTGGAGACACCCTCACCATCTCGAGAGATGGCCCAAGCTACTGACTCCAGCGTCGTCCCGCAAGCACATTCAGACCCATCAAGCCTCTGTTCGATGAATGTGTTTGAGTCCTTAGAGGAGCTAGAGGTGGAGTGGTCTAAATCAGACCCACTAGCTTCTTGGACGACACTAGTCAAAACCCCGGAGGGTGAGATTTTCGTCAGCGAGGTAGTCATTGGCGGCCGCAAGGCCGGGGCCTATTATGACACTTGCTCAAATAGGAACTTTATCAGTCGTGCGTGCGTTGAGAGGCTGAGTTTACAGGGGCGAGTGCAGCACCTGAGTCGAGCTGTGGAGTCGACCTCTGCCAACAAACAGCGCATGGTAGTCAATGACTACCTCCAGGATGTAGAGTGTTGTTTCCCGTACGCGGGAGGGGACTTGAGACATCGCGTCTCGTTCCTAGTGAGCGATGAACTCCCCATGGACATGTTGTTAGGTATGTACTACCTCTCTGTGGCACAGCCCCAGTTTGACTGGGACCGAAAAGTGGTCAAACACACTTTGCCAGGTGGAGGGACCGCCAGATTGCACAAGTTCAAAGCTAGTAGTCTGATCGAGTCCCATGGATGCATGTGTGCGGCCGCGTTCTATAACTATTATAAGCAAAATCAGGAGGAGGGTATGTACGTAGTTTATGTCTCTGATGCAGGCGAGCCAGTGAAAATGCCGCCGGAGATAGAGGGAGTAGTTGCCAAGTACCCTGATCTATTTGAAGAGTCGACAGGGGTTGGGAGGTCGTCCACGCGATAGAGATTATCCCAGGGTCTAGTATCCCGAAGGGTAGGATCTATCGGATGTCTCCAGGCGAGCTTGATGAGCTTCGCCGCCAACTCATGGAACTCGTAGAGAAGGGTTGGATCCGGCCGAGTGTCTCTCCTTATGGATCTCCAGTACTATTCGTACCTAAGAAGAAGGAGGGTACACTTAGGATGTGCATTGACTATAGGGGCCTCAATGCCATCACTATAAAGAACAGAGAGCCCCTACCGCGCATCGACGATCTGCTAGATAGAGTGCAAGGGTGCCGATACTTCAGCAAGATAGATCTGAAGTCCGGGTACCATCAGATTGCAATCCGGCCCGAGGATCAACACAAAACCGCCTTTCAGACCAGGTACGGTCTGTACGAGTTTGTGGTGATGCCTTTCGGCTTTTGCAATGCTCGTGGCACCTTTCAACACGCTATGCATCGGATATTCCATGACTAATTGGATAAGTTTGTCATCGTGTACCTTGATGACATACTTATTTTTAGTAAGACTGTCGAGGAGCATGTTGCACATTTGGACAAAGTCCTCAGTCTCCTGCGACAGCACAAGTTCAAGATCAACGGTGAGAAGAGCAAGTTTGGCCGCACCCGTGTCTTGTATTTGGGTCATG